GGACCAGCCCCTGCCAGCCCCCCAGGTTACTCTGAGTGCTCCCCATGGACTTCCTTCCCAGCTCACTCGTTCCTGGACTGCCTTTGGGCACCCTTTTAAATAGCCCAGCTGCTGAGTGCTGGGCTTGAGGAGCAGCATCAGACACTCGAGTTGGTCTTTTCAGAGAAGGTGGGCCTTATGATTATAAATATACTTAAATACCTTGCAGCCAGGTGGGGGTCAAGCTCTGCTCCCAGGTAACAACTGACAGGCCAGGAGGACATGGCCTCCAGCTGCCCAGAGGAGGTTAAGATTGGACATCAGGAGGAATTTCTTCATGGAAAGGGTTGTCAGGCATTGGAAGGGGCTGCCCAGGGAGATGATGGAATCACCATCCCTGGAGGTGTTCAAGAATCAACTGTGCGTGGCACTTAGTGCTCTCATGTAGTTGGCAAGGTGGAGGTTCATCACAGGTTGGACTCTGTGATCTTGGAGGTCTTTTCCAACCTTAATAATTCTGTGATTAATATTTGTCTTTTGGTTATAAGCTCCTTAATTATTTAGTGTAAAATTCTGATTGAGTGTCTGTTGGGGCTTGTGAGCATCACACGCCGTAGAATCCCAGAATGGTTTGGGATGGAAGGGACCTTAAAACTCATCCAGTTCCACCCTCTGCCACGGGCAGGGACACCTTCCACTAGACAGATTGCTCCAAGCCCTGTCCGACTTGGCTTTGAACACTTCCAGGGATGGGGCAGCCACAGCTGCTCTGGGCAACCAGTGCCAGTGCCAGTGCCTGTGCCTCACCACTCTCACAAGGATGAATACTTTGTGTGAGGTGTCTGAATCCTGAAAGGCTCTTCAGCCCCTGCAAGGGGCTTAAATAGCCCTGCCGTGGTCTCTTCTGGGGGTGTCAGTGCACTAACAATGCGGTTCATTTTCCAGGAAGCTGCTGGGGATCATTACCAAAAAGGATGTACTAAAGCACATTGCACAGATGGCCAACCAGGACCCGGATTCCATCCTCTTCAATTAGAGACAGACTGTAGAGATTGTATGTCCATACACAGAACTTTCTAGCCCATCCTGGATAGACTTTCCTATTTTTATTGAGACCATGGAACTGTTTTCAGCATTTTCCTCTATGGAGCTGAAGAAGATACCTTTTTTCTACCAGATAACCAATTGCACTACATAATCTGTGGAACATGATCTTCTTTTTAGAAGGAAAAAAAGACTTTTATTTACATTGCTTTTGTGAAGTCGCATTGGAAAGATTCCATGAAGGAGTAAAAGCAAAATGTTAGAGAATTATATTTCCTCTTCTTCTTTTATTGGAACTACTGTTACTAACCCAGGGAGGAAGAGACAAGGTGTTTGTGCACCTTGGGAGGTGTGGAAGGAGCAGGATGATGTTGCACAGAACATTCAGGTGGTAGAAGAGGGGCATGTCTGTACTCAGGGTCATGTATTCCCAATTAGCCCCTTGTGGAAAAATAAGGACCTTGTAAAGCCAAAACGAGAGGGAAAAATTAAAATTTGGCCAGCCTGAAGCTGCTTGGCTAAAGGATGGAGAAAAAACCCCAAAACAACCCCCACAGCTCGAATTTCCTTTAAATTGGGCCCAGTTTCTCATTGGGAAGAAGCTGGTTTTGTTAATTAGTGAATGTATTAATTACTGTGCTGCTGTCTTGCCAGGAGAACCCCAAGGAGGAGTTCACAGGTCTGTTCCCATCCTGATCCCTTTTTTAGATTTATGCCCAAGGATTCAGTCTCCTTGATTTCCCTTGAGCATGTCATTAAAGTCCTGGAGGCTGAGTCCTAAGTTCCTGCCCTTCCCCAAAACCCTCGATGGTGTTGGACATGGCACAGGTGATCTTCTCACCAGCGGTGGCTGGGGCTGTCCCACCAGAGAGCCCCATGCCCAGGACATTTACATGGATGCGTGTGCTGTTCCTGTTCCCTGCTCATTCCAGATCCTGGATGGAGAATCTCCAACATGGCCACTTTCCTGCAGCACCACTCTGGGTCTCCTTTGGGCAACAACTATGCAATAAACGCTTCCCAACCCCAGTCTGCCATGTCCCTCTGTGCTCCTCAATCCCTGTCCCAGAGCTGACCAATGATTTTCCTGTTAATGAAATTGTGCCCGTTTACTGGAATTTGGGAGGTTTATGGATGCTTTGGGAGGCTGATTCTATTCATCGTAGCCTCTGTTGTTTTACACTTGTTCTATGGGGACTGGGGACTCCTTGCTGGAGTTGGCTGGAAGACGGGTCCACCTCAGAGTCTCTCAAATACAAACAAATTCCTCATCTTTCCGTGGAGCAAAAGCCAGATTATTTATGTTCCAAAGCCATCCAGCAGCCAGTTCCTGCTGCTGCTGTGTCCATCTGGAAGCACCGTGGTGATGTCAGAATTCTTGTGTAGCTTAAAGCTGCCTCAAACTGAGATGTCACCAGCAGATTCAGTTCCTTCTGTTTGGAAAATAAATGCCTGGACTGGTCTGTGGTGGTTTTGTGCAGCAGGAGATGGTTGGAATGCTGCATGTGCTGCCTCAGCCTGGGCTGGCAGCAGCAGCCTTGCCTCTATATGCCTTTTTTTGTTCTATTTGAAGGGCAAAAGGATGCTCTAGGGATCTGAGGCTGAGTCCAGAGAGGAAGCTGCCTTGTCCCAGCCCCCTGGGGGCTCCCCCCTGGAAATGCTTGTCCTGTACATGCCAGCTTCTCTTCCCTCCAGCACACTTGGCCTACCAGAAAGACAAAGCTCTCCACTTTTCTCCTTGTCATATACAGGAGGGCTCCAGCTTGAAAAATATGGTCCCTGATTTAATTAGATCCATGATCCATGAGCGGATTCCTCCCCCTGTGGGAAGGCTGCAGTGGCCTCGTGTGAAGGTAAGGGGCAGGAGGTGCCAAAAGGGAAACCTGTGTGCAGGCAGGAGTGTTGCAGCTGGCTGAGGGCTCATCCCAGACGGATCATCACAGCTGGCTGCTGGGTCATCCCAGCTGCTCCTGGGGAAGCAGGAGGGCAGGGAGCATGCTGTCAGAGGGGCTGGCAGCTGCTCCGCCATCTGGGAGTGGGAGCTCAGGGCAGGAAACACCTCTCCCCGCTCCGTAGCAGCCGCCAGTGTGTCCCTCCCATGGATTGTTTTTATAGTGGGAGAGGTGTCCTGGGATGCTGGCTGGAGAGAGTCCTGCCTGGGAGGGTGAGAGTGTGGGAAAGGCAGGAAGAGCCCAGTAGAGCTGGATTTAGGGATACTCAGTCCTTGGTGCAGGCAGGATTTTGAGTCCTTGCAAAGTCAAACTAAATGTGACAGTGGGGGAGTAGAAGGGGAATATTCCAATGGTCTAAGGCCTTTCCATGCCTCTTGATGGGTAGATCTCTCCCCTCCTGCTTCTTTTGAATGTAGAAACAATTTTCCTGGAAATGGGGATGCACACTAATGGCTGGAGGTCTGGTACATGTGGGCAAGGTGGAAATGGGAGCTTGGAGCAGGGCTTTGGAGCTGCTCCAGCTGCAAAATCCTGAGTGTCCTTGTCAGGAAAATCCTTATTCCAGCTCCAGGCCTGTTTCTAAACCGTAGTTCTCTATGTAAAGAATCTTGGAGTAAAGTTGCCTGATCCTTGTTACTGCTTTGGTTCCAGTGGTGATGCAGGACATGAGGCTCGGGTAGACTATCACAGGGATGGATGTATTGCTCCATACTGGGATTGGTGCTTGCCATCCTCAGCGGGCTGTGGGCTATAGAAGCTTCTGGCTGTTTCCCATCTGCTTTCATTGATTTCCTTTAGTTCCTACAAAAATAAGTTCAGCTCTTTCTGGCAACATGCTGACAGGGTAGGGATCGATTGGACATTAGGGAGAAATTGTTCCCTGTGAGGGTGCTGAGGCACTGGCACAGGTTGCCCAGAGAAGCTGTGGCTGCCTTCTCCCTGGAAGTGTTCCAGGCCAGGTTGGATGGGAGTTAGAGCAACCTGGTCTCGTGGAAGGTGTCTCTGCCCATGGCAGGGAATTGGAACTGGATAAGCTTTAATGTCTCTTCCAAACCAAACTGGTCTGGGATTAATCCAAACCTTTGTGTAGGAAAGACACCATACTCCAGGTTTTTACTGGGATCCTTCTTTCTGTCAGCCCTACTTCACAGTACTAGCTGGAACAGATTTCCTTTCCCTAGAGCGCTTCCAGCTGCTAAGAAGGGTTTTGCCCGGTCCAGTTCTTGCTCTTCCATTGCTCTACTCCAGGAGGAGCCCTGGGATTCCTTTCAATAGAGAACTGGGGATACAGTTCGAAGCTGGAGATGGTCCATCCACTGGATGAGTAACCCGAGAGGAAGGGCCCTGGGGCACGGGTTACAATATCCTATTTATGACATACGATATTGTGGACCCTTCTGGGCTGAGAGCTGGATGTGCTCAGCTGTCAGATGCTGTAAGGCAGGATGGGAGTGGCAGGAGGTGACTTTGTGCTTCCCTGCCCATGGCAGGGGATTGGAATGAGTTGATCATTAAAGTCCCAACCCAAACCAGTCTGTGATTCGATGATTCTACTCCCCCATCCTAGTGTTGGGGTTTGAACAGGGCACAAAATAAAGAATTTTTTTTTAAAAGTGGAATTGTGTTCTCCTGGTGTCCCCAGTTCATCTGACTTGGGGAAATAAAGGGGAGGACCATGTATCTGTTGTGCGTGAGGCCCCTGAGCTTGGATGGAGCTGGCTCAGCACTTTTCTTGTGTACAGCTCACTCATCCCAAGGGCAAGCCAGGGAGTTGCCGGTGCCGGCCGGGAGCCGGGGCCAGTGCCAGCAGTGATGTGTCTGTGAGGGAACAGGGAGGAACGGCCAAGCTGCTGCTCTCAGCTCCACTGCCTTGGGGGCAGCTGCTCGGAGCCCAGGGCTGAGCAGGGAAGGACAATTGACTCTGGAAAAGAGGAGAAATCCCCTGTAAAGAAATCTCCTTTCCTCTGGTGCCTCAGTGTCCCACTCCACGCCTCTCTGGATGACTTGACCTCCTGCCTGCAGCAGCGCAGGGTCCCCTCTGCTCACTCACATAGCTCCAGCATTACTGTTTTCCCGTGGGTTTAACGAGCATCCTGCCTCCTGCAGCTCCACGAGCCCTTGTTGCTGTAGGGAAGATGTTTCTGTTTTGTTTCCCTCTTTTTCTAGGCTGAATCACTGCCCGGGGAGGAGTGGTGGCTGGTGAGGTGCCCTGGGTCAAAGCGTGGGGTGCCAGTGGCACCGGTGCCTGTGCAGTGATGGGGTCACCCCCTTCTGCCTTTCATTGTGTGCTTTATTTACAGTATCCCAAGGAATGATTTCCTGGGGCGGTGACATGTTTTTCAGTGTGGATTTCCTCCTCCCACTGTGAACTCGGGCCAGGCTGAGGGCTTGAAAGTAAAACGAGATCTTGTTAGAGATGCAATGAAGACTTAGAAGTAGCAATGAGCTGGTTCATAACAACAAACAGGGGAAAAAAAGAGCCTTCAGCCCTGGGATTTTTTAGAGATAAAGGGTTGGGGCCGTGAACGCCCTGGGCTGGACGTACTTCGTACTGAGGCAGAAGCAGCTCCATGGCAGTGAAGAGGATCCTTTGACAATGACTGCAGGAAGTGTTTTCTGTTTGGATTGAATCCATGTGGCATAGCTGTGAGAAATCAGGTCAATGTGGAAATGTTATTAGTGCTGCAGTGACCCCCTCAACCCTCCATCTGGTTTAGAACAGGAGAGAATCAGACTCGAGGAATGATTTGGATGGAAGAGTTGTTAAAGCACATCCAGTTCCAGCCCCTGCCATGGGCAGGGACACCTTTCACTGGACCAGGTTGGTCCAAGCCCCATTCAACCTGACCTTGAACACTTCCGGGGATGGCACAGCCACAACTGCTCTGGCCAACCAGTGCCAGTGCCTCACCAACCTCACAGAGATGAATTTCTTCCCAATATCCAACCTAAACCTGCCCTCCTTCAGGTTAAGGCCATGTAGAAAGGCCCAAGAGGTATTGGAGCTGTCATCGCAGGGATGTGGTGCTCACGGAGCTGGAGCTCTCAGGTCTGGGGGATTTCATTATTTTCTGTGTGTAACTCTGAGCCTGAGGGATGTGCTGACAGAGGAGGCACTGGGCAAGCAGCCCTGGAGCATGTGGGATGATCTGCCCTGCCTTTGGCACAGGAAAGCCAAATTGCTCATCACTGTAGGAGTGGTTTGGTCTCTGACACTGAGGCTCAGCCCCACTCCCTTTCCCTTAAAGCACACCTTCCTGTGGTCATGTACTCACCTGCCCTGGCTTCATCTAAGTCTGCCCTCAGCTGCAGGGAGGGATCCAGCTGGGATCCCCCGGAAAGGTCACAGCCATTGCATGTTACACACTCCTAGGTGCTGAGTGTGTATCTGAACAAACACAGACCTGTTGGTGTAAAACCATGATGGCCAGTGGCCCCAAGCCTGCCTGACCCTGTGCCACTAGAATTCCCCCTGGGATGGACTGGGTGACCCTGCTGGGGCAGAAGCAGGTTTTTCAGGACTTTACTGGTGGGACTTGGAGCCTCTTACAAAGCCTGATGTCCATCAGCATATCATACAGTGGGGAAACTGAGGCATGGAGGCTTCCTGCATGACCAGGGTCATTGCCAGCTCCATCTACTCCCTCATCCCCTGCAGCTGTTGTAGGGTCACAATCATGACTTCACACCACCTGGATTAAGGACTCCCTCATCCTTGTCACCCCCTGGGCTGTTCTGCTGATATTCCTGAAAAAATCTCCTTGCAATGTCTGTTGTATCTCCACCACCCTCCTCCTTCTCGTTGAAGAATCTTGAGCATTAGTGGTTGTTTCCACTCTTGCATGTCTTTAAAAACAACCAAAATAGATTTTAGGAAGGATGTAAAATGACCAGCTCAATCCCTTGTGCACATGGATGCAAAGATGATTTAGTGACCATTGACTTCACTTTCCAATAGGAGCTGTAGTAAACTTGTTGGCAGTACTCAAAACAGTGAGCTATCTTTATTAATTAATAATTTGAGTAATAACAAAACACTCTATGAAAAATCTTCAGTATTTTCGTCCATTTGTCCAGCAAGTGCTGTTTCCTCAGTCAGGGAAAACTGTTGTGTCCTCATCCAGGTCTTTCCACGCTTTGTTGTTCTTCCTTCCCGGGAGCATGTCTTCAGGCAGGCAGTGCTGGCACAGATGTCTCAGGTAGTTTTGGATGGAGTCAAGGAGTTTCCTTCTGCCAGGGCTGAGGGTGCGGGGGAATAGGGGGCCTGGCAGCCTGTAGCCTGGATGACCAAGGCAGGACTGGAGAGTCTGAGCATCTGTGTCTCTCATCCCACTGCTCTGTGTTGCCACTGTGGGAGTGGGCCTGAGCTGCAGGATCTTGGGGCTGAACTCCCCAGTGCTCAGGGAGGAGCAGCTGTGCTGGGATAGGGATGTTGCTTGTCATGGAGAAGGGCACAAGCTGTGTCCTTCCCCCAGTCAGTCCCTAAAATGAAGATGCTCCATCTGAGGATATTGTACATGTGGCCATTGGGTTGATCTTTTATTCAGCATTTTCCATTGTCAGACTTAGAAAACTCAGGCCCTACTTTAGTCCAAGGAAGCAGTGAGGCAGCCCTGATGGGTGCTGGAAGTGTAGATGTGACTGTGGGAATGACCCAGAGCCTCTGCAGGGGTTGGGTAGGATATGTGGAACAGGAACTTCTGTGTTTGGCTGTGATGCAGTCTGGGCTCCAGTGGTGCCAGCTGCTTGGAGATAAACATCAACTATAGAATGATGGAATGCTTTGGATGGAAGAGACCTTAAAGCCCATCTTGTTTTCCTCCCTGCCATGGGCAGGGACACCTTGCACTAGCCCAGGTTGCTTCAAGTCCCATCCAACCTGGCCTGGAACACTTCCAGGGACGGGGCAGCTGCAGTTTCTCTGGGCAACCTGTGCCAGTGCCTCACCACTCTTACGGTGAGGAATTCCACCCTGTCTCTCCTTGCCTGGTACCGATTTGCTCTCCCAGACAGGGTGAGGCTGCCCTTTGCCCTGATGCTGGCGGAGTTTGCCTTCTCCAAACCATCCGCCCACGAGCTCTCCCCTTTCCAGGAAAGCCGAGTGGCCCATTGCCTGCTGGCGCCGAGCCGGCTTTCCCTGCTCACGCACACAGGACTGCTTTCCCTGCTTCCTTCGTGGCAAACACAATCCCCTGCTGACTCCGTCCAGCCGTGTCCGCTTTAAACTCCATTTCAAAGGAAATCTTGACACCACCTGCTGAGTTTCCTGCAACCCCGGGTTGTCTGGTTGAGCCCTGGCTGCTGCTAGAGCTGGGATGCAGGGTTGTGATAAAATCGGTACTACCAGGGGAGGTTTCAGGCTGGAGAGGACGTTGAAAGCCCGGGGAGCCCCATTCCTGTTGTGGGTCACCAAGGTGTTTGGTACAGCAGGAGGTGGGATGAGAGGTGGAGGAAAACAGATTGTTTCCAAGGTGGGTTTGGAATGGAAGGGTTTGGAGTGTGCTTTCAGGTCTTGTTTGCTTTGGGCAAGAGCCCAATGTGCTCCAGGGCTAAGTGCTGCAGAGCTGAGGCTCAGTTCTCCCTCCTTCCCTCCCTCCACAGGGAGGGAGAAAACAGGACCCTGCAGCCCTGCCACAGTGGGATCAGCCTTGTCTCCCCTGTGTCAGGCAGCAGCAGGCTTCTCTTGGTGTTCTTTGGATCAGGCTTGGGTTGGTTTTGGACGATCTGGTGAGCTGAGGAAGCTTCCTGTACATTTGGGGCTAATCCAGGTGTTTGTGTGCAGGTGACAGGGTGGCACCATGCACTGGGGGACTGTATCAGCCCCTCTGGAGGAGGAACCTGCAGGAGAGGGGGGCAGGTGAGTGGGAATGCCCAACACCTAGGGATGTGGAGGGATGTGATAACTGCCTGGCTCAGCGTCCCAGATGCAGCCAAGGATGCAGAGGGCAGGGAGTCAGGCCTGTAAAGGTGTGAGAGGCATGGCACGAGCAAGGCACGGTGGAGAACAGCCCATAGTGGTACCCTGGGGCCTGGCTGTACCTTGGGCTGGGCTTGGCAGCCCTGAAATGGAGGGAGAAGGAGCACTGGGATCACCCAAGAGCTGATGGGTGCAGGGGAGGAGAAGGAGCAGAACTGGGCTCAGGTCCTGGGGTATCTCTGTCAGAACTGGTCCCAGGGGTAGATGAAGGCACTAGGCTGGAAAGCAGGAATACATCTTAGGATTGCCCCAGACATCTGTGGGGTGAGGTGGAGGCAGAGCCTTTCAGGGTGCTATGGGTGCAAGATGAGGCAAGACCCCTCTACTGCCTGCAGCCTTCTGGAGCTCTTGGGTACCACACATCCCTTCTCGTCCAGGCTCCAGGTCTACTTTGCCTAGTACTGTGGCTATACAAGAACCCCTGGGCATGCGTCCTGGGAGCTGGATGTGAAAAGGGGCCAGACCTGTGCCGGAGTACAGGCTTTATTCCAACCAGCACTGAGAGCCCCCTGCAGCTGTGCCAGCATGGGGGCGTTCCCATCCTTCCTGGGAGCCCCCATCCTCGTGGGAGCCCACGCTGCCATCCTGTCCACACACACTCACAGTCTTAGTAGGATACAGAGAGTACAGAGAAAATGGGGCTGTGCCCAGCCCAGCGTCCATAGGCCAAATCAGCTGGGCCCTACTCTGTCCTGCCCAAACCCACTTTTGGCCTCTGAGGTAGCCTCCATCACCCTGGGGTTAGTTTGATCCCTCTGAGATCCTGCATGACCACTGGGCTCACACAGAGCTAGAATCCTGCAGGTGAGGGATTGCTAAGGTGAGAGGTGTGAGGAAGTGGAGGGCTGTGCTAATCCATCAGGGCTGGGGTGCACAAAATCCCCAAGGGAAGAGGTGCTTGGTCAGCAGTGATGGTGAGCTCCTGGTCGTCCTGCACAGCCTGGCTTGGTCACCACGTGCCCTGCTGCCACGTGCTGGGTGCGGTGCTGGGGCTAGCAACTGCTTCGGCGTCGCAGTCCTGCTCTTTGCCCTCTTGCTGGAACCCAGCACTGGCATTGTCCCAGGTTTCTGATCCACCCAAAGTGAAACTCCTTGGTTCCCTTCAAGAAGCCGGCACTGGACTTGCTAGCATCCCCACAGGCTGTGCCCTGGGGATGCCAGCCCTGTGCCTGAGGATGCCAACCCTGTGCCTGGGGAGCTAGCCCTGCTCCTCCTGTGCTGCTGCTCCCTGTACCCTTCAGCTGCTGCCCCAGTGCCACCAGCCCAGGATCCCTGGCACCTACAGCCTGTCTGAGGCTGTCCCTGTGCAAGGTGGAGTCAGACTCACAGAGGGTCACCCTGCCATGGGCACACTTTGTCTTGCAGTGTCAGATGTGGCCCCCGTGCTTCTCCTGCTGCAGAGAGCAGTTGGGAGGTGAAGTGCCACCAGGGCTGGGATGTCCCCACTTATGCATGTCTTCTGTAGGTCCCTGAGGACTCTTCCTGACTCACAGGCTTCCTCCCACCTGGATGGTGGTACCAAGCACAGCAGGTCCCTGTGGGCAGCCACCCCTCGTGCCCTTCTTTGTTTGTCCCTCACCGCAAGGGACAACACACATGGGGAAGGACGCTGTGCCACCTCCCTAACCATTTGGTTGCTGTCTTAGGGCCATGCAGGAGCATCAGTGGGCAGGTGGGAGCAGAGGCAGGTGTCACAGGTCGAGCCTGAAGGCCCCAAAGTAGCTGGCTGCTGCGTCATTGTAGTCGATGGCCAAGGAGGAGACGGAGACGAAGAGCTCGTCACCAGCCTTGAGCTCGAAAAGTCCCCCCTGGTAGAGTGCATGGAGCCCGTAGTCTGCCTCGGGTGCCCAGCATTTGGTGCCCACCCCCTTGAGCAGCAGGATGGGCTGGCTGTGGGCTGGCTGCCACTGGATGCCTGCAGGCCCGAGTCCCGGGCACCGGAGTCCCGAGTGCTGGCGCTGCGGTAGCGGAAATAGATCTGAGAGTAGACGTAGTACTTGCCCGGCTGCTGCACCCGCAGCCGTCCGTCCCGGTACGTCATGTTCTGCAGGTGGGAGTGGATGGTGCTGTGTTCCCAGTGGGTGATGGCATGGCGGCAGGACTGGGAGAGGTTCCCGAAGCGCCCGAAGTTTCCTGGGGGGAAGGAAGGGTCACTGAGGGGAGCAACCTGCCAGAAGGGGAGGGAGTGTGTCTGACTCTCTCCCAGTCATCCTGCTTGGAGGGATGGAGAACATGGTCTTGGAGTGGAGAGGAGACACATTTCTCCATCTGCCACCAAATACCTCCTCCTGTCCTGGTCCTCTACCCTCTGGGGGAGGTTTCTTCCCTATTCCCACCTCAGAGACACACCAGTGTCCAGCAGGGCTCCCCGACTCACCATCCTGGGCCAGGCTCTGCGGGCGGATGGTTAGATGTGCTGAGGGCTTCCCAGCTATTTTGGGAAGAACCTGCCCTTCCGAGGTGTTGAGGTAGCTCCGCCGGGCCTCTGTGGGAAAGGGACAGATAGCTGTAGAGGACAGAGTGTGGGGACACCTGGTCCCATGCCAGCAGGGCAGGGCAGGGCAATGCCCCACTGACCCATCAGAGAGTAAGGTTATTCAGGGATGGAAATACCTCATCAATCATTATCTAACATGTCTGTGCTGACCCATGGCCCTCGTTCCCTGGACTATAAACATATGGACATGGCTGTCCCTTTAGCCTATCCCCAGGATGTGTGCCCTTCATCACCCAGTGGGACAATCCTGGCTCTCCCCTCTCCTGCCTGTCTCACAGTGCCGGAGTTTGCCCTGGCAGTTACCACCCCCCACCCTGCTGGCATCCTGGCCACACACTGAGCCCTTAGCATGTGGATCATGGCTCCAGCTGCCATCCCCGGAGTGGGGCCAGGAGGGACTCACCCTTCACCGCACTCCTGCGGATGACGTTCTCTGCCACCTGCACCACAGAGAAGAGAAAGTCCCATGGTTAAATGTGAAACAGGGGTTCCCCATGCCCCAGTTCCTCCTCCAAGAGTCCATCACCTTGTCTGTTGTGCTCTCTCTGTGCCCCATCAGATCCTTGCTGTGGAGGACCTGGGTCCAGCCCCCTCCTTAAACCATCCTTGCCATTCCCCCCTGCCACCTCTCCAGTGAGGCAGATGGGTAAACTGTGGCAGGAGTCAGCTCCCATCCTCCCCTGGTCCCCAGGCTCACCGTGGCCACGTAGGCTTTGATGGTGCTGGCCAGCTTGAGGCAAGCCTGGCTGCCGCTCAGCTCCTCTAGGCTGGAGCCCTCAGGCTGCTGATTGAGCACCTGCAGACACCGAAGCTCCTCTGTGCTCCCTGGAGCCTGGGATTTCAGCTGGGATGGAAACAAACTGGGATGTCAAACTGGGATGGCCAGAGGGAGCAGCAAGGATGTCCGTGGGGTCCGGGCACAGGGCAGCCACCTTCAGCCTGGTTCCTCCAACATCAGAGGGGCTCAGAGAAGAACTCTGAGCTGCCCCCGCAGCAACAGGGCACCTACAGCCACAACCCTGAGCTGCCCTGAATCCAGAGCTATTGATAGGATAGGTGGCACCATTGGGATGCAAACCCAGCTGTGCCTCTTGTGCAGGATGGAGGTGGGGGGCAGGAGGCTGGATGGATCGAGTTCACTCAAAAATCTGTTTTTTTGTGAATTGTACAGGTAAAATCTCATCTTGCTCTCCCTTGATCCCTGGCAGAAGCCCATCCCAGTGCTTTGGGAAGCATGCCAGCCCCTTTAATGGAGTTCCAGCACCAAGCAGGAGCAAGAGGAGGAGGAGGCAGGACACAAGGACTTCACAAGCCACAGAGCACCAGATAAAGAACCCAAAATTCCCTTTATCCATCTCCTTTATGTCTTCCTCCCTCCCCTTGGGGTTAAGAGCCTTCTTCAGCTCCAGTGCAGGAGCTGCCCGGCCAGCCTCGGCTCTGTGGGTGCTGGGAGGCAGGAGCTACTGCTGGAGGCTGGACGTGCCCGGGCATCCGGGGCCACACTCCTGCTTCCTGAGCTGAGCTGGGATTGCAAAACAAGCTCTGGCACAGCTCAGCCCTTCCAGCTGCTGAGCTGGGACCCTGAGCAGTGCCGGGGCAGGCCAGGCAGGTCTCAGGCACTTCCCTGTGCTGGCTTGTGGTTTGGTTCTGGGAATCCTTCCCTCCCTGGGATAAATGCCCTTCCCCAGCTGTCCCAGGGCTGTCCCATCTCTGCTCTGCCCGTGGTGTGGCTGTGGTGACTGTCACACTCGGCCACAGGATCACACCACACTAGGGAGTGGGGAAACTGAGGCACAGATGGGATGGCTGTCCTGAAATCTGTGTGCCAGGAGTTGGGAAAGAACACACCAGCACCTTGGCCTCTATCACCTGGATGGTTCCCAGATCCCAAGGCAGACCCAAGAGTCCTTGGGTTTGGCCACCTCCAGTACCCTGTGAATCCCCCACGTCCCAATTTGCTTCAAGCCCCACCCAGCCCCCTGCCCACCACAGACTATTGGGATCAATACAGCCTCTAGATCCATTGCTGTGTGAAGTCAGATTGAAGGCACTTGGGTTATTTTTGCACTTTTGGGCTGCTGGCTGGACCTGCGGATGGGCTGTGGGTGAGCTTGGAGAGGATGCGTGGGACCCACGAGGCTGATGAGGGCACGCACAGCCTT